CTGTGTTCATCCAGCCCTGCACCTTGTTGTCAAGGTTACTCCTCAGCCTCCTACACTCGAGGGGAAAAAGTCCCAGCCTCTCCATATAACTCAAACTCTCCAGTCTTGGTAACATCCACAGCGTATTTTCAATTGCTGGCTGGCCATCGGTTATTGCCGATCCCTAACTGCCCCTTGAGAAGATACTGGTGAACTGCTGCAGTCCATTTGGTATGGGTTTATTCACCATGCAGTTAAGGAGGGGGTTCCAGGATTTGGATTCAGTAACAGTGAAGGAACATGACACATTTTTAAGTCAGGATGGTGAGTGACTTGGAGGAGAATCAGTGTATTGTATTTCATGTTTTATCACTCCTTCTTTGCAAAAAAAAAAAGGAAATCACTGCGGGAACTCCAGAGGTCATGAAAGGTGCATGGAAGATACCCCAGGTTATTGAGAGAGGCAAGGGCTTTGACTGGAGATCTTTGTAACCTTGCTAGGCACTGGAGAGATCCTGGAGGGCTGGCGAGCAGGCGAGCAGCTAATGTTGTTCATCTGTTCAAGGAGGGAAACAGGGATAATCCAGGAAACTATAGACCAGTGAGTCTCACATTTGTGGTTGGAAAGCTTTGGAGAGGATTCTTTGGGATAGGATTTATGCGCATTTGGAAAAGCATGGCCTAATTAGGCACAGTCAGCATGGCTTTGTGCGGGGCAGTTCATGTCTTATTAATTTAATTGAAATTTTCGAGGTGACAAAGGCAATCAATGAGAATAGAACAATGGATGTTGTCTGCATGGATTTTAGTATGGCTTTTGACAAGGTCCCTCATGGTAGGCTCATCCAGAAGGTTAAGACGCATGGGTTTTAAATGTTATAATTGTATCCACTTCCTCTGGCAGCTCGTTCCATATATGCACCACCCTCTGAGTGAAAAAGCAGTCCCCTCGGGTCCCTTTTAAATCTTTCCCATCTCACTTTAAACCTGTGCCCTCTAGTTTTGGACTCCCTACCCTGGGAAGAGACTTTGGCTATTCACCTTATCTGTGCCCCTCGATGTTATAAACCTCTAAGGTTACTCCTCAGCTTGGTTGCTTGGAATCAGACCTGATTTGCCCATAGAAGGCAGAGGGTAGTGGTGGAAGGGTGTTTTTCAGGCTGGAGGTCTGCAGTGGGACCTTTGCTGTTTGTGTTAGATATAAATGACTTGGACAAAAATGTAGATGGTTAGTAAGCTTGCAGACGATACAAAGATCAATGGAGTTGCGGGTAGTGTAGAAGGCTGTTAAAGGTTAAAGCGGGATACAGATCAGTTGCAGATAAGCGCAGAGAAATGGTAGATGGAATTTAATTCAGGTAGGTGCGAGATGCTACACTTTGGGAGATCAAATGTTAAGGTAAAGTACACAGTTAATGGCAAGACCCTGAACAGCAATAATGCACAGAAGAATCTAGGGGTTCAAATCCATTGCTCCCTGAAAGCGGCCACACAAGTAGGTAGGGTGGTAAAGAAGGCATATGGCATACTTGCCTTTATTGGTTGGGGAATTGAGTACAAGAGTCAGGACGTCATGTTGCAGCTTTATAAGACTTTGATTAGGCTGCACGTAAGAGTACTGCATTCAATTCTGGTCGCCACACTATAGGAAGGAGGTGGAGGCTTTGGAGAGGGTGCAGAGGGGATTTACCAGGATGCTGCCTGGATTAGAGGGTATGAGCTATAAGGAGAGGCTAGAAAAACCTGGGTTGTTTTCTCTGGACCGGCAAAAGCAGGAGGGGTGACTTACTAGAAGTCTCTAAAATTATGAGATGCATAGATAGGGATGACAGTCAGAATCTTTTACCCCAAAGCTGAAATGTCCAAACTAAGGCGAGGGGGGAAAAGTTCAAAGGAGATGTGAGCAGCAAGTTTTTTTTTTAACAGAGTATGGTAGGAGTGTGGAACCTGCTACCAAGGGTGGTGGTGGAGGCAGATACGATAGGGGTGTTTAAGGGACTTTTAGATAAGCACATGAACGTGCAAGGAATAGAGCGATATGGACCAGGCAGAAGAGATTAATTTAATTTGGCGCCTTGTTTGGCACAACATTGTGGGCCTAAGGGTCCATTCCTGTGCTGTATTGTTCTGTGTTCTAACTCATCTTCTTTAAATATAAATTTCACTCATACATTCTCAATGGAGGAAATCTTTGTCAGGTAATCCTTGTGCATGCACGAGTGTGCACTTTGAAACATCTTGAGAATGTTGCATTTTAATGCAAACCTTGCCTTTACTGATTACTATTGTATCTAACATTTCAGCAGGTTTGGTGTCCCATTTCTGTCTTTAAATAATAGAAGACAAAGGTTATACCTGTCTCCAACAAATTCACTTTTTTCTCTATCAGAAAATCTTTTAACAGTTGGACATGTCCCTTTACTGGATACAACGTGAAACCCCCTTCACTATTGTGACACAAAGGAAATTAAACAGAATCCAGAAACAGCCATTTAACCCAACCAATCCATGTCAACATTTAATTTCATTTGAACTTCTTCTGATCTTTAATCCCTGAGTTTAACCCAAAGTTCCCTCTCCCTCCCATGATGAAACAGAATCTGAGCAAGCTTTACAGTTTGAACTATGTGATGAGATATGACTCATAGGTAGTTTGAAACACAGATATTAAATTTCCTCAATAAATCACAAGAGCATGTTCAGAAACAATGAGTTACTTGTTTACAGACTGACAACAAACAACTGAAAGAATTCATCGTAACTACTTACAGCTTCAATTTTGTCGGGGTTGGACAACAGTGCTACTCCCATGCCACCCTGTACAAATACAGAGCAAAACAAAGAGATTAGCGGTATCAAATCTGCTTACATTAGAAGAGAACACACTGTGTGTAATAAACAAGCCACAGTAATAACCCAGGCATCCCGAACAGTTACTATGAAGTTCAAATGCCTCAGTGGATTCCAAGCTCCTCCTAAAGAAGTGGTCTCTCTGAAACATCTTGGAACATGTGGTATTTTACTCTGTTAAAAAAAGGTTATATAAATGCAAATTTTATCCTACATGCCTCTGAAGGCAAGGTGATGTTATGATATGTTAAATTCAGCATTTTGGTCTCAGAAATAAGGCAGCAAGTGCAATCTCCATTGTTTACAAATAATATGCCAGAATGCAATCAGAAAGCAAAGAGAGGAACTTCGTGCGTGGTCTCAAACATTAGGACTTGTGTAAACATTGCCACTGGACTGTGTCCCACGTGTGCATGTTTTAGAAATTCAAAATCTAATTCTAAGGAATTTAAAATTCTACGCCCACTGGCAGCCTTCTAATGTAACGAACTGAACATAACTGATTTGGACCGACACATCTAGCTGCACAGCTCTGGGTCAATGTTCACCTACAAAGTCACAACTATGGCCTATTTATAATCATAATTTGTATATTTTCAATATTTCAGACTCCCAATCCAATCCTAGAATATGCAGAGTTATTTAAATTCATGTTTAAGTAAATTGACTATATTTTATTTTATTTCCGTGTGGGCAGATGTTTACTTTGATTGTAAAGCCATATTTGATATACACAACAAGGCGATAAAAATGTTTCCATACTGTAAACAACCGAACGCAACTTATCACCTGCAATGAACTCTCGGTGTGAAAATTACTGAGATCTGTTCAGTGGACCTTAACCATCAATATTCACAACCTTTGGCATCTGACTGGCCATGAGCCATTTTGTCAAAATTTTTTTGACACACCATAATAAAAACAAAGCCCTACTTTTTCCAAGGAATGCATTTTAGCATTATGTTAGCCACTCATGGAAAATTTTAAGAATGTTAAAAATCGTAATGATTTTGCTGAAAATATATTTTACTGCTAAATTGTAAAAAAAATTTTAAAAAACAAAACAAGGTAATGATTTAATCACTAGTGCAAAGCTGTTGGCTGCATTTCACTGGCATGTCAATGACTCAAAGAGCTGCTTCAAGTTGGAGACATTTTCTTTCCTTCGTTTTTATGGCTGCTATGGCAGAGAAGGCTTGCTCACAAAGATATGTGAAGACCATAAGATATAGGAGCAGCATTAGGCCATTAGCCCACTGAGTCTGCTACGCCATTCTATCATGGCTGATATGTTTCTCAAACCCATTCTCATGGCTTGTCCCTGAAATCCTTCATTCCCTTACCAATCAAGAACTACCACTGTATTAAATACACTCAGTGACTTGCTCTCCACAGCACTATGTGGCAATGAGCTCCACAGAGTCACCACCCTCTGGCTGAAGAAATTCCTCCTCATCTCAGTTCTAAAGGGTCGTCCCTTCACTCTGAGACTGTGCCCTTGGGTCCTAGTCTCTCCCATTAGTGGAAACATCTTCTCCATGTCCATTCTATCCAGACCTCTCAGTATTCTGCAAGGACAAGGTTGTGGTTTCTTCATAACCTTTTTGCTCATTAAACAATTAATATCTCAATTTCTATCCTCAATGCCTTTTTTTGCAATTTTTAATAATAATTTTTGAAATTGGGCATCCCACCTACATGCCCCACTGGTTCAGAAACACTGCATTAGCGGATGCAATTCCACAAATTCTACCAATCACATACAGTTATTCCAGGAGTTTAAAATCCATCAAAGCTATTTCAGTGGATCACAATTTTACAAGGAATAGAATAAATTAATTGAATGCTATTATTGTCATATGTTTTAGAAGTCTCCATTACTGAAGAGTAATGGATTGGCAAAAGCTGATTGGATTCATAAGAAAGTGGCTAAAGATAACACTTGGACAGCACATTAAACATCTTGACAGTGGTTGTAACTATCATGAGTAATCTCTAACCCATTTAAAATAATTGAAAATCAGTTCAATAAAAAATAGACTGAATTATTTAAATTTTGTTGGTGTATAAGTTAGCTATTTAAAAACGTAACTTTTTTGACAAGATGAACTTTAAAATGTACACCAAAGTGCCCATATATCTAAGAAAACAAGGGCATTTGGTACAGCTTTCCCGAGACTGTGCCATCGACAGAACCTTGTAACTTCCAACAGGTTGTGTGGGGCCTGGTTCGGAAGAAATTCATCTTGAGTCAGTGTAAAGGATCATCAAGCAAATGAGAGTATGCATTTCAAACATCGTTGCCTTATGTTTAAGATTCCCCAATCTCTGGCACTGACTTGATCAATTCCATCTGTATTGTGGCAACAGAACTAGCAAAACCTTAGCCCCAGTATTTTGCATCTGACAGGCACTATGCTTGATAAATGCATTTGCAAATCTTATAAAGGTCCACGGGACATTGCACCACTATTGCTATAAACTATCACAGTAACTGATCACAAAATAAGTCACTTTGTTGTTCAGGTGGTGCACTGTAGGATGATACATCCAACTGTATCTGCCTCAGTTCTTTGGAAGAGCGAGCCAATTATTCCCACTCTTCTGCTGCTTTCCCATGGCCCTGCAAACTTTCACCTTCAAGTATCATCCAGTTTCCTTCTGAAAATCATTATTCAATCTGCTTCTATTGCTATTTCAGGCAGTGCATTCCCAATTCAGTGCAAATGTTTATTTCCTCCTGTCTCAAACGGTCTCTGGTAACTTTGCCAATAGTCAAGTTTGTTTCTTTTCACCATCCTGCCACTGGAAACTGTATGCCTTGAATATATCTCAAATGTTCCCATCATCTTCTTTGCTCCAAGTAGAACAATTGCAGTTCCCGTGGGTGTATGAAGTCTGTCACCCATAATTCCATTTTAGCAAATATCCTTTGTGCCCTCTCCAAGGCTTTGACCTCCTTTCTAAAGAGTTGAGCCTAGAATTGGCCACAAAACATTCACTGGGACCTGAGCTGTGGTTTTTAAGCATTTAGTGCAAGTTCCCTGCTTTTGTACTCCATACTATTAAAGCCAACAATCCTGCATGCCATTGCCATTAACTTCAAAAACCCCTTTTTCCTCTAAATTTGCATATTCTCTGTTCTTGCATTTCCTTTAAAGTTGCACCACCTTGTTTAGATTGGCCCCTCATTACTCTTCCCAAGTGAACCTCTTCATATTTCTGTGTTCAATTTTGCCTGCCATACATCTCTCCATTTCATCAACCTGTCAATAAATCACATGAAACCAGAAGCTTAGGATCATTTTTGCAGACAAACTGTAGGTGTGCTGCAGATGGGGCAAACGCTTTGCAGAACACCTACTTTCTGTCCGCAAAAATGACCCTGAGCTCCTGCTGCCTGCCATTTCAACACAGCACCACGTTAACATCTCTGTCTCAGGCTTGCTACAGTACTCCAGCAAAGCTCAGTGCAAGCTGGAAGGACACTCATTTTCCACTTGGTAACTCTGCAACCTTCAAGACTCAGTATGGAGTTCAATAATTTTAGGAACAAGAACAAAGTTGCTGGAAAAGCTCAGCAGATCTGGTAGCATCTGTGAAGGAGAAAACAGAGTTAACGTTTTGGGTCCGGTGACCCTTCCTCAGAGCAGATGGTGGCTGGGAAAACGTCAGTTTATATACAGAAAATAGGGAGGTGCGTTGGGTAGGGAGTAAACGATAGGATAGAGCCCAAAGAGACAGAAAGAGAGTTAGACAGACAAAGGAGTTGCTAACGATCAGGCTGGGAGGGTGAGTAGTTGTTAATGGTGACTGTTTTAATTTTAGGGCCTGAGCACCTTCTCCCATGTCCTTACCCTGATCTTCACACACCAGGCCCTGTCTTCACATGGGCTGCTACCACACATAACCCATTGTCAGCTACTAATGATCCCAGTTAGCAGCTATTCATAATTGTTTTTCTTTCTACCTGGACTCCATCTCTAGCTATTGTTTACTCCTCCTCCATCACCACCACCCCATCTTCACCTTTTTCTGGCTAAAATTGGTTCTGTTGACAGGTCACTGGACCTGAAACATTAACCCTGCTTTCTCTCCACAGATGCTGCCAGACCTGCTGAGTTTTTCCAGCAATTTCTCATTTTGTTTCTGATTTCTAACATCCACAGTTCTTTGCTGATTTTGTGTAGCCATGAGCAATCCTTGTTCAGTTGGTAACAAACATTTCAATCAGCATTATGGGGGCAGATGCTCTCCAAATACAAATCACATGAATATAATTCTTTACAGTCGGGAAAATCCACTGTGATGGTTGAAAGCAAAGTGCAGGCTTACCTTGGTGGAATATTCTTTTGGGCAGCCCATATTTACGTCTATTCCAGCTACATCATTTTCTCTGTTTGGAAAATTAGGAACACATTTACAAAAATATGTATGGTTTTCAAAATATTGATCAAATAGACTCTGACTTCATAATATTTTAATAAGGAATATATTTTTGGCTACATCCTGCAACATTGCATTCAGTGACACACAAGATGCAAGAACTAAAGTATCACACAGTGCGACATTTAGATGTGTGCCAAATACAGGGCTCCTAATGGATAAACAGAAGATTCCTTTTGCATTGCTCATCGTGAATGAGAAGATATGCCGTCTGACAATTTACTACCACGCTATGTAATGTGCAATCTTTGATGTTTTCCTATTGCTTATAGATTTCCTTTTGAAGTGTAACAAGCAGGAATTAACAGAAATTAATCAAGGGAAAGTGGAGTTGAGGCCACAGTCAGGTTAGCCATTACCTTATTGAATGGCAGAGCAGGCTTGACAGGTCAAGTGTGCTGACTTGAGGTAGGAGCTGTAAACCTGTACATGGAGGTAGTGAGGACAGAGGCTATGTCAAGTGATCTTTAAAATGATTACAGCTGGCTAAACCTGGAGGGTTGGGAAGAGTTGGTGCTGCCCACGTAAACGATCACTAGCACTCGTCCCCTCCCTGAGCCAAATAATGTACGGTAGTGTAACTAGAAGACACAACATGGCTCGACACTCTAGTCACCCTATCGTATCTCAGGACGTTTCAGAGATGACCACAAGACTACTCAGATCCCTAGGTATCAGGATAGCCCACAAACCAACAACCACCCTGCAACAGCTACTGACGAACATAAAGGATCCCATAGCCACAACCAATAACACTAATGTATTATACAAAATACAATGCAAGGACCGTCAGAAACAATAGACAGGCCAGACTGGAAGAAAACTGACAATAAGGATACACAAACACCAACTAGCCACCAAGAGACACATCAATTCTCACTGGTCTCAATACACATGGACAAAGAAGGAGACAATTCGAATGGGACAACACATCCATAATAGCACAAGCCAAACAGAGACATGCCAGGGAACTCCTGGAGGCCTGGCATTTCAACCGGAACTCCATCAACAAACACATTGAACTGGACCCGATATACAAACCACGATAAACAGAACCGGAAGTAATGCCAACCAGCCAAGCAAACTGAGGCATATAAATAACAAGCAGGACAAAACATCAACGCCTCACCAGAGGTGCACTGACGATGTTACCTTAGCAGGGTGACAAAACGTTTGCATCCAAACATACTGGCTCAGCGAGCAAGTCTGCAACCTCGTCCACAACCCGAGCTACAAATTGCCTCAAAAACTTTAATCCCCCACTATAACTGCTCTATGTTGGTTACACCTTGTGGTAAATGCAGATTCATTCCTCTGCATCCTTCACACTAGTTGCTGGCTCCCAACCTACTCCAAGAAATGGAATTGCATCCTTTTTGTTTCTTAGCTGTAACCAGATATGTCCCTAGACCCCTCTGGGACATTCCCCTTTCTGCAACACTACAATGCTCTCCTTAACCAATGCCGCCATCCATCTTCCTGCTTTCTCATTCCTATGTTTCCTGAATAACTTTGTGATCAGGAATATTTAACACCGAGTCCTCTCTTCCTTTGACATCATCTCTGTAACAGGCATAACATAATTCTAAATGTCAGTCTACGCCAATGATTCACCAATCTTATTGACTATACAATGTGCATTCACACACATGCACACTAACCCTGATTGAAACTCCATTTCTTTCTTCCTTTCTGTAACTCTACCTATTAACGTATTATTCACTTTAAACTGCATCTTCCGAACCCATGACTACTTCCATCCAGAACGATGAGGGTAGTAGATGCAGACGTGCTAGTCTCAGTCATGTAAAGTGTCCATGACTTCCCATGTGTTACAGGGATGGGCATTCTGCTTATCGGAGCTGTCTTCCAAGCCTTAATCATACTTTTGTTGTATTTATTATGAACATATTTTTCTCGTACCAAGGTTACCTCATAAACGCACATTTCAGAATTTTTGGCCTGAGACAGAGTCCTCCACAGTAGATGCTCATTGAGTAACACCATCTTCTCACTTCACTGAACTCCCCACTCAGCAAACTTAACCTCTTACAGTAAACATCAGTTAAAATACCTCTTTTCCACTATGCATAGAATTCCCACCTGAATTAAATTCTCCAATACTCACTCGGTTATGTAACAGTCCTGCATCATCTGACAATCCCTCCTTTACTAATCTTGTAGTTTCAAAAGCCTCTCTTATATACAGTGATTCTGATGTGTCACCAGCTATCTTGACTTAGGTTCTTGTGACAATGATTAACCTACTTTTCCTCAAAAACCTGTTCAGTGATGTTATTACACACTTCTGGAGCAGGCAGACTTGAACTAGAGATACTACCACTGCACCACAAGAGGGCCCCTGCTACAGTGTTTTTAATTTAAACTGTTTTTCTAATCAACCTGTTCAGAAATGTTATTACACACCTCTGGAGTAGGTGGGACTTGAACCCAAGCCTCCTGGTCCAGGAGTAAGGTCACTATCACTGCACCACAAAAGGGCCCATGCTACAGTGATTCACACCAGACAAACAAAGGGCTTTCAGCTGATTGATAAGATAATTGCCAATAACAGGCAAGCACCTGCTTAACAATAACTTCAGATTAAGAGTTAAATGAGAAAGACTGAACAGTTAAATTCCCACTTTAAATTAAATTCACTAAACCCTCACTCTATCTTGTCTCACTCCCATGTAGCCTGAATGTTCCTGTAAGGGATATACACACTGAAAGATTTTATTATTTTTCCTCCTCAACATTTCAGGAGAAACTTGCTGACAACAAAGCAGAAGTTACTTTCAAACCCCATAATTAAAAAGCATCCTCCTCCCAACCCAACCCATCCCACTTCATCCTTCCCCTTCCCTCCCCACCACAACTGCAAATTAGCTTCTGTTTAATTGTGTGTAGATTTGCAAAATATTTCAAATTACCAGGATTTCTAACATACTGATGAAAGAAGGTTGATGAGGAAATGGGGCTATTTGAAGTTGTAACTAGCTATAACAATCCCTTCACGGTTTAAAGTCACCCATTCTATTCGGCTTTATTATATTGAGCTCCCCTTTCCTCACACTTCAGTGCTCCTGCATTCACTTAGAGTCATAGAAATTTACAACACGGGAACAAACCCTCCGGTCCATCTCGTCCATGCCAACCAGATGTCCTAAATTAATCTAGTCCCATTCACCAGCATTTGGTCCATATCCCTCTAAATGCTTCCTATTCATATGCCCATCCAGATGAATTTAAATGTTGTAATTGTACCAAACTCCACCACTTCCTCTGGCAGTTCATTCCATACACACACCACCCTCTGTATGAAAAAGTTGCCCCTTAGATCATTTTTAAATCCTTCCCCTCTCACCTTGAACCTAGGCCCTCTAGTTTTGGACCCCCCCACCCTGGGAAAAGACCTTGGCTATTCACCCTATCCATGCCCCCCATGATTTTATAAGCCTCTATAAAAGTCACCCCTGAGCCCCCGACTCTCCATGGAAAGTAGCCCCAGCCCATTCAACCTCTCCCAATAGCTCAAAACCTCCAACCCTGGCAACATCCTTGTAGATCTTTTCTGCACCCTTTCAACTTTCACAACATCCTTATAGCAGGAGGGCCAGAATTCAACGCAGTATTCCAAAAGCTGCCTAACCAATGTCCTGTACAGATGCTACATGACTTCCCAACTCCTATATGCAATGCACTGTCCAATAAAGGCAGGGGCACCAAATGTGCTCTTCACTACCTTGTCTACCTGTGACTCTATTTTTGAGGAACTGTGAACCTGCATTCCAAGGTCTTCTTATATGAGCGTTATCTGAGGGCACTTTATAGCAAATTGATTGAATAGCTACTGAAACAGAGATAGGCCTGGTAAAGACTTACACAAGCTGTGCAACTGTCAGAGCTCTCTGAGCATCAGCTGTGCCCTGCAATGAAGAAAATTGAAAAAAAATAAAATGATTAACTTCCAGGTGAGTGCAGACAAAAACAAAATGTGTTTAAATGGGTTGAGAAGCTAATATAAAATATTTATATTTATATTTAATTACATTACAATTAAAACAATTACAACAGACAGTGAAATCCAAAACGACATAGCGAATTAACAGATTCTTAGCAACATCAGTTCCGAGTTGTGAAATTGCCGTAAATTTCATAGGAATTAATGCCATTTTCTAACTTGCACTGGGGCTAAATCTATTTAAATACAAAGCTGATTTGGTTTCAGGTGGCAGTGAATTCTAAGAATTATTATTTGCTTAATGTAAAAGATCCCATGACATGACTTCAAAGAAAGTCAATACTTATCTCCCAACCAAGACCGAAGAAAACAGATCACATTCTGTTTATGGATTCTTTCTGTGTAGAAAATGGCTGCTGTGCTTCTGATGGCATAACAGTGGCTATTCAAAGGGTTAGGAAGGACTGGAGTGGTGACAAATGTTGGGATGCTTTTCATTCATAAGACATTCCCTATGATCAGCGTATCAAAGACTCTCTTCTAGTCAAATCCCTACTGGCCGGGTTCATTTGCTGATCCCGGTTTGGGACTGGGGACAGGCAGTGTTTGACCCGTCTAACCCTGATAGCTCTGGGTCCGCACGGCCTGTCAGTCTTAAATGGCAGTTTATCTCAGAGAAGGCAACTGTGATGTCACAACCCTGGAGGAATTGGTAAATCATCAAAGTACCTGTTGGCCGACAGTGCAGATGATCACAATGGAGCCGATGGGTGGAATGCTGATGTTAAAGGGTAAATGAAGCCTTACGTCTTGCTTAGCAGCTCATCTCAGAGAAGGCCAATCTTCCTCAGCTGCTGAGCTTGTGCATATTCACTGCCTTGGACGAAAGACTGAGAGAGGTACTGATAAACAGTAGCTTCTTAAAATACAGGGGGTTCTGCTATAATGCAATAGTTGCATTCCTGTGCAACATCGCATTATTTTCTTTTGCCCAATTTTCTATAACGGAGTCTATGGGAAAAGCTGGGTTAGGGGCAGTCCTCCAAAAAAACACTTAAAATTGCTCAAAATCACTCAAAAGCCTAACACAAAGGATAGCACGGTCTGAATAAATGTTTTATTCATATTTAATAATGAAATAAAAATAAATTTAACACCTTATCTTGAAAAAAATGTCAAGATGACTTAATGGGGGAGGAGGTTTTGAGGTTGCTCTGGTGTTAATGGAGGAGCTGAGGGACATCATCATCATCATCATCATCATTACCTTCAGCTGCAGTTGTGGTTGCAAGGTTAGGGTGAAAAATAGTTAATCCCGAGTGGATGGCTATGGTTCATTGTCTTGGGGGGTGGCTTAAAAAAGACATCCAGTTTTTTGCTGCTTTGTCCTTTTTCTTCTTTCGTGAAGCTGTTCCTACGGCGCCAAATAAAATCTTATTCCACGAACTGCTACCCTGCTGCGTTCTGCATTGTAATCTGTGTCCTGTAAGCGCTACAACTGCTTCTTAATTTCCCTCAGGATAGGAGACAAATTAGGAGTGGAAAGCTTTCGTGGTACTGCAGCCTGGACTTCATTTTCTTCATCTCTAGCTTCCACTTCCCCCTCAGAGAGAAGTTGTTGCAGATCAGCTGTAGAGAGGTCTTCACAGTGGGACTCAAGCAGCTCTTCAACATCCTCACTCTCCACTTCTTCAAATCCAACGTGCTTTGCATGATCATCACAATCTTCTTTGATCCTTGGAAGCTCCTCTGACAGATCAAACGTTTTAAAATTTTGAAAATAATTTGGGAGAAGCTTCCACTAAACTGCATGCAAGCAATCCTTACTGACACCCAGGCCTCCACGATAATGTCAATTGCATTCCTGATGTTAAAGCTCTTCCAAAATTGAACAACACTGTCCTTATCTGCCTCTTAAATGTACGCCTTAAATAACAAGCTTTAAAAGCTGCTATTGCACCCTGGTCTGTGGGTTGAAGGAGAGAGGTTGTGTATGGGGGTAGAAATAGCACTTTGATGTTTTTGGAAAGCTCAGTAGTGGTGACAGGATGGCTTGGTACATTGTCCAGGATGAGGAGAATCTTGAAATCCAAATTATTTTTCCTGCAATATTTTCTAAAAACATCTTCCAAAACATCAACAATAAGGTCAGAAAAAATTTGCCCCTTCATCCAACCTCTTTTGCTTGACTTAAAGTAGATACCTAGAGTAGGTTTAAGGTAACCTTTCAAGGCTCGCAGATTGGCAGAGTGGGACACCACCACAGGCTTAAGCTTTAAGTCTGCATTGGCATTGGCACCCAGCAGCACAGTTATATGATCCTTTGCCACCTTAAAGCCTGGAGTGTGTGCTTCATTCTTAGAAATGTAGGTTCTTGATGGCATTCGCTTCCAGTATAAACCGGTCTTATCCAAATTGAAAATTTGGTTGTAGCCTTCATTAATTAGTTCTTTTACTGTGGGAGGAAATGGCTTCGCATGCTCCTTGTCTGCACTGGCAGCTTCGTCACATAACTTTACGTTATGAAAAGCAAAGCAGTTCTTAAAACCAGCCACTGCTAGCACTAAAGGCAGGCACATCTGCAGGATTTTCAGCCTTTTTTGTTAGAACTTCATAAATTGAGAAGGCTTTCTGTTTGATGGTGAGAAGGATGTTCCCAGATTGCATTTTCATTTGATTGTCTATCCACACACTTAGAAGCCACTCCATCTCTTCAAGTTCCTTCATCCATGACCTCACAGATTTGCTAGCACTCAGACTTGTTCCAGCAATACAGCTTGCTTTAATCTTCTCTGCATTGTCTCTAATGGTGCGTAAGGTAGTCTCCTTTATTCCTACTCTCCCTGTATCTGCCAGGTTACTGCTCACTAGTTTATCATCCAGTCATGGCCAAAATATAAATACAGACTGCTGTTCATTGTGTGAAATTCTGTTCATGGAAAGCCAGAACACCGAAAGGAGAGCACAGAACAGCCCTCATTGCCAGAATGATGGGCTGGTACAGCATCGAGATAGCTGCCCTATGCAAAATAAGGCTCACTGAGCAGTCTCAACTTGAGGTTGATGGAACTACACCTTCTATTGGATTGGCAAGTCCAAGGAACAGCCTGGACAGTCAACCGTGCGTTTTGCCATTTGATCTGAACTGTGCCGTACAAGCTTGACTCACTTCCTGCAGGGGTCAGCAATCGGCTTTGTTCAAGTCTTGCCTGAAACCAAACTGCAAACCTCATTAGTGCCTATACACCAACAATGACGTTCAGGTGAGAAGCATTCTATGATGGTCTCAGCAGAATAATTAGGGGTGTTCCCCACCAGGACAAACTCATTATTCTTGCTGATTTCAACATCCAAGTGAGCACAGACCATAGCAGATGAAGAGGAGTACTTGGACACATGGCATTGACAGAACAAAATCCAATGGCCAGCTCCTTCTCTCTAAATACAGTGAGTTTGACATAACTATCACGGACAGTTTTCCAACAAGCAGACAAACTGAAAACAACATAAATTCACCCAAATCCAAACACTGGCACATGTTAGACTCTGCTATTGTACAACAGAACGATCTCGAGGATGCGCACTCTTCCTGCATGCCTAGGGGTGGAGGATGTTAGTCTGACCATTGGCTCAGAAGGAATATTGTGTTTTTGAAATGAAATCTAAGATGCATTGGCATTGAGTCAAGCCACTAAAAAAGGTTAACATAACTTTTTACACATTGACAAATCCATTTCTAATTTCATTTCCAAATAGAGATGGTATATCTGAAATTTCAATATCCTGAACTTAATGCAAGGAACTTTCTACATCTTCACATTCCTGCTTCTTTTAAATTTATGATGCAAATCTAAGGTTTCTGACCTAAAAAGTTAAATCATGTGCAACACACAAGGCAGTGCAATTTCTGAGTTAACTTATGCATTTGCAGCTATTCAGATAGACTACTTTGAACCATCAGTCAGTGTTGTAAATTTTCACTAGAATGGATGGGTAATTCTTACCATTTGGAAGACAACATGATTCTTTTCTCTTTCACAAGTCCTAAAAATGACTCGCTCATCAGTTGCAACATAATCTATGGTATCCAGCACGTCTGAGAAAAATAAATGTAGACAGGCTTAGGAAGGTGAGTGAGAGCACATGTAGAAATGATTATGGGAAGTGGTGGTTAGAAGAGGTATAAACAAGGGTGCGGCATCTTAAATTTTCAGTTACATTTGGAAAGAGAGTCCAGTATTGATTCACAAACAATATTTGTCAATATTTTTAATCATATAAATTGCCTATAAAATTGAGTTTTTGGCTGTCACATCAGTGCAATCTGGGTGGAACTGGTCAAACCATGGCAAAAAGCCAAAGTAATAAAAGAAGGGGAATTTATAACTTGAGTGATGTCTGAAACCACATACATGCCTCAAGATTGTGCAGATCGAGCCCCACCCAAAAAACTGGCCATGCCCCTGGGTTGAAATTGTGGCACTTGGTTGATTCAGGAAGGCCTTTCAAGTTGCACCTATTTTCCAGAGCTCATGGTGCTTGGTGCATGTTACAACTGACCATCAAAACTATTGAATGTTTAATTGTAGCTTTTCAATCCGTTGCCAGTAATTTTAAAGTTGGGTTACTCACCAGGGCTGGTCACTTGTTAATAATGCTTACTGCTGACCAGCACATTGGTAACTACATGTTCCCACTTTTAAAAATATTGAGGAATACTTGTTACTACTGGAATGAAGATTAAAAGCTAATGCATACGTTTGGTCACGCTGGATTGTGGAAGAATTTATGCAGTTGATTCCGTGAACGAATGGAGATTAAACAGAAACTTGCAGTGCAACCTAAATAAAACATGTTCAGGTATGTTACGGTTGCAACATGCCATTTGCACCAAAAGCAGAAACTCTACCCCACTATGTGCAAGCCACCTGAGGTCATATTCCCAACCCTGTATGGTAATGTGTTTAACACCTGCTTGGTAGGCACTTCCTGTTTGCTATGAAAATACCACCAGTTTCCCAGTTCATTTAGTCAACTTCCTTTGCTGAATATCGGAAAATTATTTAAAATATTGATTCTGGAAAAGAAAGGAAGAGAGGAATAACCCTACGAAGAAAGAATAAATTTGTCGACTCACCATTCACGATTCTCTTGCACTGTATCATTTTCAAGTCAATCAACTCCTATTTAAAGTGGAAAAGAAATAATAGTCACAAGCTGCCTACAATATCACTCCTCCGTGAGCTAAACATCACAGGATTTCAAAGGCACTGTTCAGATTCAGATTGGTGGGAAACACTTGACCCAAATTATTATAGAGAAAGTTGAAAAGATGAAGTCCAGAAAGATTAAATATCACCTTGACCCTTGATGTGAAGCTCAACTGGATTCCAGCTCTGCCACATTAGTGTCAAACTGTATTGTGTATCAGCTGATCGTCCCAAGCATTTAAGACCTTTGAGAAAAAGGCTTTATTCCATATGCCAGCTTATAATTCTCTTGGTGAAGAAATTGCATTTACATAGCATCCAGCATGGTTTCAGAAAATTCTAAAACACTTCAGAGTGAATGAAGAGCTTTTGAAGTATGGTCCCTGTTAACGGTAGAAATGAGAGAACAAAGGAGTGCACGGCCAAGCCCCACAAACAGTAATGAGATAAGTTGCCGTTTCATCTGTTTTAGTGTTGCTGACTGAGGGATAAATATTGGCCAGGCATTCTAGTTCTTCCACGAACTGTGCTTTGGGTTCTTTGCTTTCCAACTGAGAAGATAGACAATGTCTCTGTTTAATGTCTCATCTGAAAGACAGCACTTGATAGTGCAGCATTCCTTCAAAACCACAGGGGACAGTCAGCCTGGATTATATCAGCTCAAGTCTCTGCTGTGAGACTTGGACCCCCGCCTTGTAACTCAACATGTGAAGCCACTGTTTTGCCTACTTTAGCTTCCGAGGGACACCTGAAAGGTTATCTTATCGACTGTCTCTATTTTGAATTCCAAATCCCAAAATATTATTTATATTATACACTTTTCATCATGAAATATTATTTGTATGACATAAATTATTCAGGGACTGAGAAATTAGAATATTACTTAAAATTAAATTGTGACTGGGCAAAGGTTCATGCAATCAAAAAGTTAAATCTAAGACTGATATGAAGGAGCTCTTGCTACATATTTCTACGTGTAGAATACATTTTTAGATAGATTAGTGAAGAAATGAACCTGGAATCTCACTTTATAGACAGGCAAATCAAGATGGTTTATGTGACTTTTACAATCTGTAATGATCAGCTGCCTGTGGCTAGGTTTATGAACAGATCATCATTTGTTTTTAATAAAGAAATATCCTAACCAGTATAAAGAGTCATTTTGGTGTGGGACTAAATTCACAATAGGCCAGACCCACTAGAGCCAATAAGTTACCTTTCCAGATCAGTTTTTACTAACTTTTTTTATTTCCAGACTTTGTAAACTGAATTCAAATTGCCACAGTGGGATTTTGAAATAATGTTCTGTCAATTTCATGCAGGCCTCTTGTGACATTAGGGTGTCTAATTTAAATATATATCAATATAATTTATGTTAGAATTTGGATTTTGAACTGGTGGTACGTGGATTTTGGTCCATGTGCATAAGGGGTTTACTAGCTGTCAGTCTTTCTGGAACCACAATTTTAAACCAATATAACGTTAGAGAGCA